GCAGTGCTGCAGGTTGGGCAAGGCCCCGACTGAGGCAGAGCTAACTGACCCTCCAGATATCTCAAGAAGCGCTTGGAGCACAAACACGTACCCTTCCTGGCATCACTGTCCTCTAGGGACCAAACTAACTTGTGGAAATACAAGTCCCAGGAAGATCTAAGGAAAATAACTAACAGGATACTCCGAATGTGCATCTTAAACGTTTTTTCCGCGCCACACTGTAGACGAGAGTGGAAATAGAATTGGCAAATAACATCTATGTGCTACACTAGAAAATGACTGACAGAGCACAATGTGAACATCACTCCTGGACCGAACCAGGAGAATGCATTAAAAAAATGCCGAAGTGGAATACTGACACACATTAACTCAATCTTCTCTTATTATGGAATTAAAAAACTTATACCTGTAATTATGGCTTACCCCCATTACAAGCAGGGCTGCCACAGAACTGAACGAGGGCCAGCTCTGTCCATGAGTTCAAAGCCAGTGTGATGGTGCCTTATTTTCTTACTAACATCATCTTTATCCTCTCTTGCCCTTCTTCTCAGTTAACAAGAGTTATGTACTGAAAGTGCTGAGATAAAGTAATGGTAAGGAGGATACCGCAAAAGGTATTTGAAAAGCAGAAGTAATTTACTACATGTCTGCTTTGTTTTACTTCCTAAGCCTTCCTGTTGTGAAAGGAAATTCATCTTTTCTGGCAGACTCCAGCCTTTTTAGGCCTGAGAGCTCCCCAGGAGCTTTCGAGTGCAGGTAAATGGATGTGAGACTCAAGGAGTACAGTACAAGGAACATGGAATTAATGTTGGGTTTTGCTTCGGCTGTCACGTCTGACGTATAAGGAGAGTGCTACATCCTTGCTTGCAAGAGCTATCTAGATGTAAAACACACAGGCTGCGTCCTCCGCTCATTACCGTGGCTCTGCAATGCCACGAACGGAAAGGCCATGTTGCTGGTGGGTGAAGCATGCAGGATCTACACCCAGCAACGCCTCCACGGCAGAGCGATGTCAGGGTGCTCCGCGCCCCAGGGGCCCGTGGCGTAAAGCGCCGAGGAAGGGCTGCGGATGGACAATAGGTGCAGCCTGTATCCTGCACGCAGCGGAGACCCCGGGAGTAGGCACAGGGGAAGCATCCACCGCCTAATCTAAATAGCACACAGAGTGGTTTTGTCCTCTTCTGTTCTCCTGCCAGTTTGCACATATGTTCTGAGTATGCAGCCTGCCCTCCAAAGACCACTTACAGGGGCAATCACAGGGAAGCAAAGCAGGAAGAAAGTATCCAAAAAGGGAATTTGTTCAAGAGAAAAAAATGGAGACAGATGTAGAGTGACTAGTCACGGCTGGCGGTAAATAACCCTCTGCCTGGAGTGCTCTCTTTCTCTAAGAGGAGTTCACATATTCCAGTTCATATTTCCTTTCTAGGAAGTCAAATCCTTGTTTTCCTGGCATTTGTTCTTTTTTTTTTTTTTTACTTTCTTTCCCCTATATACTTTTTCCTTTCTGCATGGTCTAAAACTGCCTTCTCGTTTTCCCTTCCTCTCCTACGTTGTGGTCTCTTGCAAGCGTGACATTTCTCCCATCTCCCCCTCCTGCAGACCTGATTTCCCCGCACCATCCAGGCAACACCTTTGGCTACAACCCCCGCACGCTCTCCGGGCCACAGGCACTTCCCTCTGCCTCTGCACGTGCATAAGCACACGTGAGCTTCACACCCGCTCCTGCGTTAGAGTCCCCGCTTTTTCTCCCGTGCATGCCTCAGAATTAAGCAAACGCAACACACGCAGACAGAATATTCATCCTCTCGCTCCCATAAACCTGTCAAGGCATATAGGCCAAGAAGCTATCTCTGCATAAATCTAAATCTCCTGTGAGGAAGCAATCTACTCAAAGGCAATAAAGCCAAAGGATATATTATTATCTTTGGTGTGGATCCTACTGGGCTGGGAGGTTGGCTGCTGGCTCCTCTCTGAACTTTGTTCCCAGCCAGAACAGCCATCCCACAGACAAGTCTAAGCTTCCTTTCCTTGGTCTGATTTCCTCCTCCCGTTGTTTGGCCGGTAACCCAAAGGACAGGGTTTAATTATGGAGTTTGGAAACCTGGCTTACGCTACTCTGCCAGCACAGGATAAAACTACGGCCTGCCTTCCGAACCAGCACCATTCTGCACCGTTGATACCTGCATTATCCCACGCAGCATGAAACGAACCACATGGAAGAAATGCCAAGACAAACAAAAGGATGGCTCAGTCTTTAAACGTCTACTGCGAATTTCACTGAGGAAAAACCTGAAGCTCAGAGATTATTGTATGTTAAAACTGTGCCATCATTTTGACTGTAGATTAAATAAATGGCAAGGCCTTTTCTGGACAGGAAAGACATCGGAAAGGATGGATCTGAAACAGGTCCAGGCTCCAAAGCTCCCCCCTCAGAGAGGAACGCTGTGGCAAGCCACCAGGTAATACGGGATGTTAACATCATTTATAGGACTTTCAGATGACCAATGTATTTTCTAGGCAGATGTCCCACCGAAGACTCATCAAACATGTCGCATTTCTGGAGACGAAGCACCCACGTCGAATACAAAGGGCCAGGCGTTAATATTGGTCCCACGTGTGATTTTGGAGGTGGGTCAGGACACCGTGCACAGACACCCCACCATTGCCCTGGCAGGGAAGGACCCTCGGGTGCTGTTCTGACCTTCCCCACCCATGAGCCGTGGCTCTTCAGGAAGTCTCTGCGGCCGTGCTCTCGCAGTGACCCTGTTTGACAGAGAAGCTGAGGCAGTGAATTCAGAGCACGGGCTGCCTGACAGCTGGGGCAGAAGTATTGGGGTGGGGCTGCGTGGGCACGGCAGAAAGATGGTTTGAAAGAGCATCCCACGCAGGCAGGATAAAGCTCTTTTTCTTCATAGCTGTGACAGTGATAGATAGCTTGGAGAATCTGAGCTGTATCTACTTGGTACCTGGCTTGAGTCCCTGATGTTGCAAGGTGATTTTCTGCCCTTTTACGGGCAAGACTAAGCAGAATCTGGGATTTTTCCGTAGTAGGCGAGAAAGGTCATGAGGAAGGAAAAACCTTCTCTTCTCTGAGCTGTTGTTGCCTTCCTGATCACCTCAGGAAGTTTGCCATGGGCAGTGGTGCTTCTTCATGATGGGCACCCAGTGTCCCCGAGTGGTGGAGGCGCTTGGGAGGGGTAAGGCTTTGGGAACTTCTCCTGCCCAGCTCAGTGCCACGATCTAGTCAGGACTGGGAGGAGACAATGACCACACGTGGGGAAAACCACCAGAAGTGACAGCAAAATTAATAGCCAACCTCTGGCCGATGCACGAATGGAGAGCATTCGTCATCAACAAAGAGCACCCCAAACTTTGGGGGGAGTTAGCCCCCAGCCTGACAATGATGCAGAAGCAGTGACCCAGTCAGCTTTTTGCCATCTGTGTCTGCAGAGGAGGTTGTGATCTCTCCCTTTCAGTGGGCGACGAGCTTTTGTCCGTGTTTTTGCCGCTCCATGAGCAGGCTGGTTTAGTACAAGGTGAAGCTCTGTCTTGCATCATCTGGAGCCTGGAGCTGATGGAGGAAACAGCCCCCAGTGTCTACTGAGCAGGGCACCTCACCGAAAACACCAGAGCCCTGGGGACGGCGGCGGCAAGGCCGTCACGGGGAGCCTGGCACTTGTCTGCCTGCAGGTCCACCCTCTCCTCCTGCCAAAGTGCCACATCTGCACTCAATAAGGGCCCACAAGCTGGCTCCTCCTCATTAGAGGAGAGAGGGCAGCTGGCAGGGGATCCTCCGAGGGCTCCCAGGCGCGGGAATCAGTCCCCTCCCAGTCTGGAATAGCCCAAATTTGGTGACTTTCTGGGCATGCTGTAAAGGACAGCTGTTTGACAGGGTCTCCAGAGAAAGCTGTGGGTATGTTTCCTACATGATGAAGGATATAGGTGGCTGGCCAAGTGCCCACAGAACTGATTTTAATGCTGTTCAGGTTGAATTTACTTTTCTGTGCTGTATAGTTCGTTATACGCAGTGCCCTGGACAAGCATGTGTTGTTTCAAAACAAACCAAAACCATACTATTGTAAATCCAAACCAACAAGAAAGAAATAAAAAAAGAAGGTATTGCAAAAGACCCTTTGGGCTGATCCTTCTCAAGCACTGGGAGGTTGGAGATGAAAGCACTGCTTGCTTTCATCTAACAAATAAGACTTCTGTTATTTTTATTGGCAATAAATATCGAATAATTAGCTGTAAGCAAAATTGAGGCACTAACTTCACCTACGCACGTAATTCTGACCTAGAAAAATATTTTCAATAGTATTAAGCACCCAGATGATCTCAAGATAAGTGATCAATGGACAGTTAAGTATGTAACATAACATAACCCAAACGATGATCAACAAGAAAGATCACACACAAAAATCAACTGAGAGAAGGCAGAGGAGCTGCTTCCTAGCCCTTATAAAGTGTTAACACCCAGTGATACGTCTTTTGATATGAAGCCTCCAATCATGCTTCGTGGTATTAGACCATAATAAAGCAATCCCTACTGGTAAGTCTCTTAAAAGTCATAACGAGGTGAGCCCAAGTCTTGTATAACGCTTGAAACGTCCTTCTGCCTTATACACCTTTAGGGACATTAATTTAAACAGTGTAACTGCAGGGCAGAGCCCAGGCAGGTACTACTTTCTGCTGAGCAGTTGTCAGCACTATCCTAGAACTGAATCTGGACATTTTGACAGAAAAAGACTGCCTATCTTTTGCTGCATTATTTAAATACTTCAGATATTTGGCCAAAGTACAGAAGTGACACACTATAGAAACATTCACAGCTGCAGGAGCAATAAAACCACTACAATATTTTCATTAGACTGACCTTTTCTCAGAAAAAGTTACAAGACGTGTAGAATTGATCACTTTTCTAAACAGCACTCAGTGAATTCTGATACCAAAACCGAGCGAGTGGAGATCGTGTTCTCGGGCTCCCGAAAGCCGTGGCTTACCTGGCTCCACTTCATGCCATCCGCTTGACTGGCTGCCACTTCCTGGAGAGCGCCCTTGGCTTGTATAAAACGGCTCCTCACCAGGACTGTCCATCTCATCCTCCACAGACTTGAGACGTTTTGTAGAGCTGAGAGAGTAAAACCACGTAATAAATTCTCTGCACAGGGAAAGGAACAGAGGCGCGTCGGCTGGAACGCAGCTTGCTAGCCCGGTTTGAGGCTAACTTGGTTATGGGAACCATAACAGACTTAGAGCCCTGGGAAGGGCCCTGAGTTCTGCTCAGTCTGAGTTCTGCTCAGCCACCCTGCCCACCCAACCTCTCAGCATCCACTTTTAGTCTCCGTTTGCTTCGTTGCCAATGACTAAGCTTTGGTGAGATACAAAACAACCTCTCACAGAGACCAGACCCAACTCCTAAACACGCATTAGTTCAACTAGACAGTGGTGCAGGGTTTAGGCTTTTACAGGTGAGAAAGCAGGACACCTTTCAAAGCACACAGAGGTCAACACAAAGGCAAGAATTTAGTTTCTATTGCCCAGTCTTATAATTTGAATTAATATGGTAAGGACACCCAAGACTTATTTTAACCGACACATTTTCCTACAGTTTATTCAGAAAGACAAATTGTTTATCAGTTCAAACTTGTATCTCCAATCTTTTAACCACAGCCATTCAATCAACCCAGACCTCAGTCCCGTAAGAAGTGTAGACAAGTGAATGACGGAAGAATCCACCCTTGGATCAAACGTGATCCTACGAGTGTAAGCATTTCACTCTGCAACTGTCTGCCACCGAGCACAAAAAGCTCCAGCAGGTCCCTCTGGCCAGTGTCAGTCGGGAAGGATTCCCCTGTGATGGATCACACCGCCCCCACCAAAGGCTCAGGAGACAGAAAGCCCTTCCAGTGGTCTCCGGTGGCCCCTGACTCAGACTCTGGGAGTTTGGCAGGGAGAGGATCCCAAAGCCAAAGACACTTAGCTTGGCTCTGTTTTCCATAATGACTTGTACAGATTGCGTGGGGACGTTACCGAGAATTGCTCTCCTAAGTACTTTTCCAAGGCTGGGTCAGCTCACTCGTTCTTCCCCGGATCTGTAGTCTATTAAGACCTAAGGCATTCGAGAACAGGCTCCTCTGTGAGGGGGGAACACATTTAGCAGACACCAAATATTCCACTGCAGTTTCTACCAGCTTAAACCTTGCAGCCTCTCGGCAGCTCCCCACCCGGAGCTGTGCACAGGTAGGAGCTGGCGGGTATGCCAGATCAGTTTGTGAGAAACAGGAAGAGTAACTCTTGCGGTATGCGTGGAATGCAGGATTGGCCATTCCTTAAATTAAGAGAATTGTTACGTGTCAATAGGGGAAATTGTGTGCATACAATATAATTACTGCCCGATAATTCTGCTGAGTCTGTGTATTTAAGGAATATTTTTTTTCCTGACTGGGAACAGCCTAATGAGAGGAAAACAAACATATTACCAAGTTATTAACTACCCATGCTGTTTATAATTAGCTCCTTATCAGTCGTAGCTATTTGCAGAAGAATAGAAGAGCAACAACTGAGCTCTCAAGTAACACTAATAACCTCACTTTTTGCTTCTGGAGTCACAACTAAATTCTACCTGAGAATGGTGCTAATGATGAGCACCGTAGGGTAACGCTTCCACGCAAGAAAGAGCGAGCACCAAGTTTTTAATTGATGTGTAATGGGAACTGTAGTCACCGAGCTTCACAATGTGCACACTAAGTGCAAGATGTAGAATGCTCTTCCAACCACTGCAAACTGTAAGAGGTTATTGCTAAGAGCCTCTCTTTAAAGATACATGTTTTTAAAATCAAAACAACAGCTACATTCAAACTGCAGAGTTTTTACATGTGTACTTGCTTACTGCAAACCTGGTGGCACTGCAGACTGAGCTGAAAATGTAGAAGAACCCTGGGCTGAAGCTAGACTTTCTTGTCGTGCCTTTGAAGTGATCTATTTTAGCTGTGGGGGTAAAAAAAAATCAATCCGGGTCCTTAATAGTGTTCAAGACTACCAGAGTGACTGGGCTTGTTTATAAATCTAACCTCATGGATGGTTAAAGTGAAAGGGAAAAAATAAAAAATATCCTTGTTTGGTAGTTGGTATCTAAGCCAAAATCAAAATCAGACTGGGCAGTCATCTGCATTAACCATCCAGCAGTCTAAAGGCCGAGGCACAAATCTCTAAATACTACATCAAAACTGGAATGCTTCACAGGCCAAGGTCCTAAAAGGACCTTAGACTCACAGACAACACTTTTTATGATAATATATGCATATATGTCTATCTTAGGCCTTTCCTGCTACGATAAAGTGGCACATCTCAATATGCCCCCGACCCTCTTCTGCCACAAGTGAAACTCTAACGATTCCAGTGGAACTTCTGATACAACAAGATACAAAACCAGAAGTTACACACCTCAGTGCAGCGGTTTTTCCTCAGAGTCTGTGTGTATAAAAAGAACTTGAACAGCAACCCAGCTGAACATTCAGCTCTGTGAATCTGAAACAGCTCCCCATCTTGAGGCCCCCGAAGAGCTTGTCAAAGAATTTAATGGTTACTTCCCCAGATGAGTAATGATGCTGGCCTGGGTTTCCAAGTAACTTGGTATTAGGCAGAGATTAAATTACCTGGTAGAGGATGTGCTCGGTAAAGACCTCCTCATTGCTCCTGGGCTCATGCTGTAGTATGAAGAACTTTCCAAATCTGAGAGGGAGAAATTAGGGCCTGTTCCTGCAGCTATCGGTGCTGGGGAAACAAAAGAGATTGCAGTCAGTAAGTCATGTGAATAAGGCATGAATTGCACTTCAAAATGACTTTCTTCTTCCTCATGAGTGTGTTTAGTTTCATGATGAGAACAGGTGGGACGTGGAAATTAGGAAATGCTAATGGTAACTGGCATCGCAGTCAGGAAGATGCAAATTTTATCAAGAATACAATGTTCCGTAACATAAACTCCTTCCTACATTCCTCCAAAGGTATTAGTTAAAAAAAAAAAATAATAAAAATTATGGCAAGCCTTTCCTTAAGCACTGCCTTTCTGTGAGTATCGTCCTAACAGTTAATGAAACCTGCAGCTTTCGCTTCTAGGACAAGGCTGCGCTTATCGGCATCGCTGCAGAGAGGCTGCGTCCTCCCTGGAGTGTGCCTGGCATCGCCCGGAAGCAGTACCGGCAGGGAAACCCACACCTCGGCACCTCTGGCACACACGTGATGCACATCCACCAGCACGGAGGTTACAGATGCTCCTCGGAGAAAGCACAAAAGCAGACGGGAAACCCGAGTTCCTTCTGCCTGCGAGCACCTGAGTTTCCCCTGGCCTCTCCTGCAGCTAAATCCGAGTGAGAGACACGACCCTGCAAAACCCTTTCCCAGCAGTTGGCTTCCGCTGTGCGCCTCTCGCTCCCTGACCCAGCGCCCCAGTTTTATGGTAAGGGACAGGAATACCTTTAACCTCCCCGTCCTGGAGCCTCGGTTTTGCATTAAAACATTATGAATTCCTACACAGGCTGAAGTTTGCAGGCACAAGGCTATGAACCCCGCGTGCCGTATTCCTCTGGGTTCAGAGAAGGGATGGAGCAGCTTAAAGTCAACAGATAAAGCATTTCACAAAAAAACACGGGAAATGGTACCACATCCACTGTCGCCGTTCCAGTGCTATTTACAGGACAATACAACTTTGGGAGCTGACAATTACGGATCATGATTTTCTCTCACATTTCAGAGACATCTGAAAAAGGACGTTCTGCACAATAAAAAGCACAAGCTTGGCCTGGAACGGATTGTCTGAGAGCCCTGATTCACAGCAACAAAGGCGAAGCAGTCTCAATGCCACACAGGGATGCTGAGCCAAGTTTAATCTTTGCTCTGAGAATCTGGCCCATTTTCAAACATGAAAAAATCTTTCACTCCGAGGGGCAGGAGTGAGGAAATGAAGACAGGATGGCTCCTAGCACCCAGCTAACATGTCTGGGCTGAAACCAGGCTTCTGGGAGAGCGCTGCCGCTGACTGTAATGGGGCCAGTTTTTCACCCCAAGTCTTAAGGAGCTCACAATGTCAGATCTGACAAGAGGAATAATGTAGCTTTGCAGCTGCCTCATCATCCCCACAAGACAATTAGTTGTTGTTTGGCAAGGATCTTTTAAGAACGTCATTGAGACAGAAAGGGAACAGCCTGGATAGCCATGGACTTTTAAAAGCATGGGATGGAAAATACACAGCGCCATTAAAACTTGAGAAAATGTGGAATGATCATTAAAAGGAACGAAGTTGGGAAGTAATTTACGACAAGAACACTCAAATCCTTTGTTATCTTCTCTTAACTATCATACGCTTCCTGCACACTGGGTATACGAGAGGGTGTGTTCACAGAAAGAAAGAAAAATTAAGCATAGTAAAATTAACTCGTTTTATCAATTTGTGCTTTCTGCAATGGTTTCCTGACAGCAGCTACAAGAGGCCGTAAAACTGATGAATTTGCATGGAAAAAGAAACCGGTGTAAGTAATTTGTGTAAAAGGTAACACGGACATGGACTGCTATAATTCAGACACCCTGCAGATAGCAGACTGCTGCAGTGTGAGCAGTTATGGGTTAGAAAAATGACCACACTGCAGTCAGTCTGACTTGAATGGAAATCAATCATAAAGGTACTCGCTGCAGCATCTACTCCACAGTTTTCAGCAACTTCCTTGCCAAACAGATTTGTGCTCTGGAAACCCTTTGCTGATCAATTCCTTTGCACCCTCTACCTACCAAAGCCTAACTCACAGCTCAAGCATACGGTTTTCCAAATAGGAACATAAAAAGGCAAGCACTAAATTAAAGCACTGCTTCTTTCTGAGGCACAATGAATTTCCTGGGCATTGCAAGATTTATGAAACAGTTTTATTCCAAGCAGATATGGAAGAAAGACTGGTATGTGGATAATGCTTTTATTCTTTCTCTCTCTCCCCCCTCCACGTTTATCACTCTCCCCCCAAATCCTGCACATTTCTGTTCCAAGCCCTGCATTGGCCCTGTAGGAGAATGAGCTGTACCTCCAGAGCAGGGGTGGGGGAGGAACAACGTACTGCTAACGCTGTGTAACCCCAGCACAAAGTAGCACGGGCTAATCACGCAGAGATTTCCGCCGGGGTAGCAAACACGGAGGATGCTTTCGTTGTAACAGGCCAAACCACTGTGCCCTACTCATGAGCCTGTTTGAAACCTGAGGGTTAAAGAAACCCAGCTCTGATACGCCCCGACAGATCCACAGCAACGTGCCCACTGCAGAGCCCACTCTGAGACTGCCAGGAACAGGTTAATGCTTTTTGTCTGCATGGCGGAAGGTCGTTTCCTCTTCCCGGCTGGAATTTGGTTGGAGCTGTTTGTGCTTTCTGTTTCTGCTGCGGCATCAGTGGAGCTGAGCCCCCCTCCCGGCCCTGCGCTGGCCTTCGGCTGCGGGAGCTCACTGCTTGGCATCCGCCTCCTCTAGTCCCCCGTGTGCTTTGCAGTGCAACACGCCTCCGGAGTGGGCACGGGGCAGCTGCCCCAGCCAGGAGGCACCTAAACCTGCTCCAAACGGCTTTTCACACTGCCTGTGTGGACTGTCCACCTTGCGTGGGCCCTGAAAAGCTGATGGGAAGGGAACACCTGCATTAATTTGCAGGATTTCCTGCGAAAGCTGCAGCTCCAGAGAGGAAGCAAAGGGATCAAAGTGGTGCAAACCGTGGCAAAACTCTCAGTTAAACCTCTCCATTGCAGCACCTGACAACCCACCATGCAACCTCCCCATGCCCTGTTCCCACGGGCCGGGAAGAGGCTCTGGCCCCACACGCAGCAGCAGCGTGGCTGGGAGGCTCCTGTCCAGCACAGCCAGGCGGCTACCGGCTGGAGCCTGCAGAAACTCCAGGCTCCCGGCAGCAAAACCACACCATTCCCCTCCCCGGCAAGAAACGCTCTGCAGCAAAGTCACCTTCTAATAGCTCAGGAACATCTCCCAAACAGGGAAGGATGTCAGAAATCACAGTTGTGAGTCAAAACAATAGTCACCACCTACGTGCCAGCACCAAGATGGCATCTGATCCAGGGCTCCGAGCCGGCGGGGGGCGAGGAGCAAGGACCCCTCTTCCCTGACACCCACCCAGCTGTCTAAGCAAACAACCTGACGCCGGCCTCTGCTCCCAAAAACCCCTGTGCACACGGGACGTTCCGCTCGCTTTCGGGGGCAGGAGCAGCCAGTTTGCCCAAGAGGAGGAGGAGGAAGGTGGGCATCCCTGCCTGAGCTCCCACGGATGCGGGGCAGCATCGCCCCTGCTGCCAGCCTGTTCCCTCCGCTGACGGCTTGTTAGCTCTGCTCTTCACCCGAAATGTCAAGAAAAATAACAGAGAAATTACCAAAAAGCCCTCTGACTTAACTCAATCGGAATATTTATTTTGAAAAATTTATTGAATTACAGAACAGGAAACCCACTAAATAAAACCAGCCAGGCTGGCACTTGTCTTCCTTGGAATACGGCAATCTCTTGTAGTCCCGTTAATGTTCAGTTTCTCCTTTTTGATGTATTTATTTTTACAAAGGGTCTGGGATGTGACTAAGATCATTACATGTGTAACACTGCAGCAAAGTGATAATGTGTTTAAGGTTAAATGGGAGAAACATGACATTTGACTAATAAACTTTTTCCTGTGTTGTGACTCCATAAACAAAGGGAAACACTCGCTGCTGCTGCCGAGAGGAAAGGGGAGCTGGGGGTTTTGTTTTTTGCAAGGCCTTTGTTTCCTACACGCTGTATCGTTAGACTCAAAGAGCCTCTGCCGAATACAACAGATATGAAATGTGTGATGTTCATTTTAAAATTACAAGTACAGCCTGCTATTGACCAGCTAATTATGCTGAGTTCCATTTATAAACATAGCTAACCACTAAGTTTATAGAGACTTTTTGTGCTGCTTTAATAGGATATTGATCGAGAGCAAGGTTTGAGTGGACTGCCATTGAATTGTGTAATGGCATACAAAAGGCAAGGTCACGGCAACTGTTCACTCTATGCCTGCAGTCTATTTTTTATTATAATCTTTTTTTCTTCCCCTCATACCCAAGCCCAAACAGTGTGTTTGGGATAGCAGTGCTTTGCTAAGGAATACAGAATAGCTTTTTAAATGTTAATTTTCATGCTGCTGACTTTAACTCCCTTCACTACTGCAGTGCTTAGTACAGCAGAAAACACAGGCTGCCGCTTCGCGAGAGCTGGTGTGCTACGGCCCAGCGTTCACGCGCGCGCTCGGCGCGGAGCACAGCCTCTCCTCTCCTGGGCGACAGGAAGGCAGCGGCATCCTGCCTGCCCGGCCCAGACCCCGGCAGCAGCCGGGGCAGCCCACACCTTGCCACAGGCATCCCGCCGCGCCGGGGCTGGCGGGACCTTCCCTGCAGCGTGGCTGTACCTGGATGAAAGGCGGGAGGAAGCCGTGTTTCCTTCGTCACACCGTGCTCGGGGTGGTGACAAGTACCTTCGTTTCTAGTGCTAGTCCGCCTGCCTGGCAGCAAGGACAGCTTCACTCCGCTGCTAAAGCTGCCACTAACCAAGCCTGGCACCCGCCTCATCCAGCAGGCTCCGAGCTGCAGATCCCGAGCTGTCCAAAATGCCTTGGCCACAGCAGCAGCTCTTACCTGTGGAATTAGTGTAGCTGTCTCGGGCATCATTAGCTGGACCGTTGCTGTGTTTATACAGGAGCAGTAAGCACCTGCATGTAGCGTGTGTGCTTGTGGGTTCACTGGCTCATTACAAGGATTGAAAGTCACCCCACTTGCTCCGTACAGCGCACAGCTAACATCTTAGAGCTCAGAGCGTGGCATTTTCAGTCCAGGGCACAGTCAGAATCCCCTTGTTTATCAGCATGAAGAATGATGTCATTTTGACAAATAACACAGCACAAAACAAATATGTTTGATTTGGCTCTAGCGAATGTTCATAAATCCTAAATCTTTCTTCACATCCTGGGCAGTGCAGTTTATCTGGCTGCTTGAAGGACCTCCAAGGGAGGAGATCTTCCCAGCAGCTCTGCACAAGAGCACATGGTGCAGACTCGAAGCCAAGAGGGGAAGAGCATTCCCTGTGCCTCTCTCCCTGCTCCAGCCTGCCACGGACTCCCCGCCTCTGCTAAGCGAGCGGGACGGTGCGCTTGGCAGTGGCCCGGCACCGCAGCCACCCCTCCGCCAGCACCTTTTCCAGAGGGTGTTCTCCAGTGCCCTGCAGATAGCTGCACACAGCGAGCGGAACGTTTTCCTAACAAGGGTAGAGAGGGAGAAGGCTTTGCTGGGCGAGCAGCTGGCTGTCCTAGCACAAAACCCGTACATCTCCAACGCGTCTGCTTCCGAGCCTTTGGGTGTCGGCCCAAACCCCTCTGGAAATGGAAGAACCAAGCCTGTGTTATCTGAAGGGGTCTCCCCAGTATCTGGGGTGACAGACAAGACTGTGACAGGAGCTCACACCCTCTGCCTGCTCATAATGATGGTCTGTGACACCCACATCAGGTGGGGTGGAGGGGGAACGATCTGTTTTTCAGATGAACATTTATGATCACCTTTCTCTGTTTCACTAGCCGCTGCAAGACTCAGGAGCTGGGTAGCCTTTCGGAAGAAAATCTGCATCTATGGGACTGAAGGAAGCAAGTTTGTGTTACGAAAAAGTCCAAGCTTGTTCAACAGCTCACAGAAACTGTGATGATCAGCACCGATAGGTAAGACAGATAATGGTAACAGCTGACCTTTAGCTTGATTAATTCATTCCCCCAATTTGCATGACGCAGACAACTGCCTGGTACTGGAGGCTCCTTGTCATGTGGACCTCTGGGAACTTTACCGAATAAACCTGACACAAAATTGCCACCAACAATAGGAGTAATTTTAAACAACAGCAGCAAACCACAGGGCAGTTAAAACGGTGGGAAATCACTTGTTTCTATCATCGCATGATCAAAAGCAAGCATGGAAAGAAAATGACAACGGATTTACACAGAGATGACCTCTCTGTAAAGACAACCCAGCACGCTCAGGAAGAGAGCACAGGCCGAACGTGAAGGCCCACTACGGACAGGCGGGCTCCTTCCCTGCTAGCCATGGGAAGTACAGCCACGAGAACAGGCCGAGGACACGCTGACGACTCGAGCCACGGATGGCTGACAGCCGCCGTTCGCAACGGAGCTCCCCCGATGGAAGTAACCCAGGGGCTGGTCTCGGATCGAGACATGGGAACACGCAGACAACCCCGCAAGGGTTACACTGAAAAGCACACTCTTTAAAAGACCTTGCCTGCCAACCCGGGCAAATATGCAGCAATTACTCTGCTGCTCTGTTATGTTAAACAATTCCTTGAATATTAGCATGCGGATTCATACGGCCTTCGCTGGGAATTCGCTGCTAGACTCTACGCTAAACATCTCCTACTGGGCAGCCACGGCATGTCAGGCTGCGGGCTTCTCAGACCTCACAAAGTAAACAAGGTTACGGCTGGTCAGTACATGTCTGGGGCATCTCCAAGGAAAATCCAGGGTGCTATCAAAAGCAGTGTAGCTAAATCAGTTGCTGGCACTCTTCCCTCTGAGTCAGTTCTGAAGTGGTATCCTGATAGGCTTTGGGGACACTATTTTTGGTAGAGGTGCTGGCTTGTAGACAGGATATAAAACTGAGGTCTTGACCTGCCAGGATTATTAAAGAGCCCATGAAAAACAGTGCAAACCCCTGTGCCTGGAACAGATAAAAGCTAAATCTTTACAGTTTGCCCACCAACACCTCCTTTCTTATTTCTGATGAAGTCCATGCCCATCCTGCTCTTCCTGCATGCGCGTGCCCGACCCTTGGAGGTGATGCACCGCAGCGCCAAGCAGCGGGAACGTGCTGGGCACAGCTCAGCGTTTGCAAAACATGCTGACTGCTCTGATTTTTGCTACACAATGTTTTAGTTTAGTCCAATAAAATATAATGGCAGATTAACAGGCATGAAACCTGACGCTCATGAGGTCAGTGCCAAACGCTCAGGGAAGCTGGGCTGGGACTGGCTGCGAAGGCTGACGTCCCGCGCGGGGACACTTTCCTCCCAGCCCTGTCCTGGGCACACACGGATGCGGCTGACAGAGTCCAGAGGCAGTTCTGCTGTGCAGGGCTCCGACAGCGAAGATAAGATTGTGGTGAAGTGGGATGCCTTGCAGAGGGGGAGGGTGAATCCTCTGGGCTTCAAAAGCCTCACGCTGTCACACTGAAATAACACGGAGACGTTCAAGGGGTGGCGATAACTTGGTTTTGTCCGCCGTGGCAAGTCAGTGTACGCAGCGAGTTATTTAGCACTCTGGTAAGTGAGCTGATGTGCAAACGTGCTGAGCGCTCAGCAGCTCCTCTTCTAAGACCTTTTAATTTTGCCCTTCTCACAAAATTCCAGTGTCATAACACGGAGATGTTCAAGGGGTGGCGATAACTTGGTTTTGTCCGCCGTGGCAAGTCAGTGTACGCAGCGAGTTATTTAGCACTCTGGTAAGTGAGCTGATGTGCAAACGTGCTGAGCGCTCAGCAGCTCCTCTTCTAAGACCTTTTAATTTTGCCCTTCTCACAAAATTCCCACCAGTTGTCAGGGAATAAAACTCTGGAGAAATGTCTGCCTTAAACTTTTTCTCCCTCGTCTCTCTCTCCATATAACTGTCTCATATATATCACAGAACTCTGACATTCATGCATCTCCCACTTGCTTTCCTTGTAGCATCCTATTTTTGAACAGAAAGCCAATTTACTAGCTAGTGCAAGTCTTTCTGAAGGAGGAAATAAAACAGGAAAATCCTTACAGAAACTCTGTGTTCTGACTCAAACCCACAGATTCTCTGCTAGGTTTGTACCAGTCAGATTCCAGCCCCAGAAGAACTTAAACTACGTGCTCAGAGCCAATATATAAGCAAATATTCCTGTTATCTAGGAGCCCCATTTTATCACTGGCCGTGCTAAAGTGGCTGGGTACAAA